AACTTGGTGCAGATAATATTATATGGCACTTTAGTGATACCGGACATAGAAAAGGGGCTCCTGACGTAATTGGAGGAAGTTTTAAAAAAACAACTGATGCATTTGTAGCGACCAGTGGAAATATCCCAGATTTTGGAGCGTTGGTGAATTGTTTACAAGAAAAATGTAAAGGTATAATTATTTTGCCAATCGACGATACTCATGTTGATACAAGTCACTGCATGTAAGTCTAGCTAGACTTTCGTGCCACTACTTATAACATCTCTAACATACTCAATACTAATACTACAAGACCATTTACTGGTACTCTATTAATTCATCAACTTAAATGGAATAATACCAATTCTGATATCTTCCACGCCAAACGATTAAGCTGCAGTGTTTATAAAACAAATCAGATTTGCTCACATCATGAAATTGGGCTTATTTACGTAACCACAAATAACAAGAAACTAATAATATACCAGTTTGGAGGACATTAGCTCATTCACAATCGGAGTCGCCACAATCAAAGTATGACGTATACAAGAACCCAATAGCAACAACCTCACATACATCTATCGTTTTTTATCGAAAATATAGCATTTGCTGATAGTTCATTTGTTGAAGAGATTTTTGAATGCAAAAAGCAGACACCTCTTGGAGAAAAGTTATTAATACTAAATGTTAAGATGGTTATCTACAAGGTCCGTCAAATATTACGGCTTCGGACGAAAAAATTATTTTCTAATCTTCTTCACTTCTGTAGAAAATTATTGTTTATTTTTGAGTGTAAGTTTACTTAATTTGATTATGTGTGCTAGTCGTATTGAGAAATGATTACCAAAAGCAGTTAAGACGGATTTATTTGACAATAAAAGTTTATTAGTTTTATGAAAGATTCTGTCATTTATGTTGAAATTAGAATCACTCCGGTCGAACTGATAACACTAAAATGTGCAATTATTTCTAATAAGGTTATTGATCTCTGATTATTTGTTTAGAAGATAATTACATAATAACTCTTTTTTAATAACAAAAAAGGAGATTTAGTGAATTTTGAAAAATATTTTATTTTTTATTACTCGGTAGAACTACCCATGTAGCCCGGAGCGCCTCGCGATTGTAGGTAATTATTTCACGCAAGTAGCAAATGTGACAGAGGCCTGCTAATGTATGGTCCAAAAATGCGTTTTAGCTTCAACTTTATTATATGCAATTATGTAAAATAGCACTTTAATTTAGGCCATATTTCATAGTTAGTGTGTTACATAATTATTACAAAATACAATCATAATATATTTTTACATAGATCTACTATAATAAATTTTTAGGCTTGAGATTTTAAACTTAATTAGACATCCCGACTTTTCGAATGATTTTCAATAACAATAAACATGGAAGTGGTTTGATTTACAGATGTCATTTTTATAGAAGTAACTGACATACAGTCCATATCTATCCTCGATTAAGAATCAAAATGCACATTCGATGACCCATGAGGTTTGAATGTTTTTAAATTACAACAGCCTTGCAAATCACACTTGGTAAGAATCTGTGTTCGAGAATTCAGAAGAGGTCATTCAAATCAAATATATAATATTGGATTGATAAACGCGATAAAACCTGTAAAAGTAGTTACTATCCACGTTGTATAACAAAATAGTGGAAACCTGTATGCGTTTCACCGTATTTTCTCGTTTTTAGGATTTAATATAATAATGACAAACTATATTTTCTTGTCAAAAATATATGAACATCTTTTGTTTACAGAAAAAATATTTTCGTTTTATTACAAATACTTACTAATAATCGTTGTTCTATTGTGATAAAACTATATAACAGCCATTATTTGTTTGTAACACTAGACCCGTGAGACGAGTTCTTTACAAAAACATATTTTTTAAGATTAAATTTATTACTACCCTCGCGAGGGTATAAAATACGAAGCCTGAACTTTGACGATAACAAAATTTGTAAATAATAGTTGTAATAATATAATAATAGTAGTAAAACTATAAAAAAATAAAAAAAGTAACTCACTTTCTTAACGTTAAACACACAGCAATAAGTTATTATTAATAGTAAATATCCATAGTTTCACAGTTATCATATAGTATTTTAAGTCCTTTAATATAAAAGACACAAAATGATTATTTTGTTTTAGATATCTCACAATATTTAAGGTAGTATACTATGTTTCCTATAATATACATTTGTAAGGTATTTAAAAATAATTCTTTACTTTTAAATTCCTTACAAAAAAAATTAGCACTTGACAACTATTCCCATGCATCCCATACACTTGAGTTTACATTTTATACACAACCGACATCAGATATTTTGTCCATCATATACCCAGGAGGCAAAATGCCAGGAAGTTGGAGCATCAGTCATCCGCGTCAATTTCTTCATCGCTCATATCTTCTTCACTGGTGCAGTCGGGTTGTGAAGCTTGTGAGAGGCATCGCTCGCACCAACAGACAAATAAATAATTTTGTGCTAATTCCTGAAAAAAAAAGTGAATGAATAGGTAAATCAAAGTTATTTCATAATGATAACATTGAAACTTTACAACTATAAATTCTTCGGGCCAGCATTTCTGTATCTAAAGGCATAATTACTTAAACAGTAATAATAAAGGATTATAAAATTGATGGTAGCTTTGATGGTTTCTAGAAAGTGAGTTATAATGAAATTAGACAATATTTTAAAAATATATAAACATGGATATAATAAAAATAAATGTTTGAATAGGGTACAATACTTTAAAGTAATAAAAATAATTTCTGATTACACTGAAATATAACTAAAAATGGGCAGGAGGGCTTATAAAAGGTTATTTTACTTGCCTTTTGTCTAGAATGTCTTGATCTCTGTAATGAACACTCGTCTAGATAACTTATACATATCTCATCACCAGGCATGATTTGTTTGATAGCTTTCAACTGTATTCTGTGATTGCCATAAGGAAAAGATGACTCGGCATTGGGATCACAGCTGTGATTGCATGCACTCTGTAAGCAGAAGAGTCCAGAACCTTCTGTGTTGAGGAATGTACCAGATTCTGAAATAAAAGCAATTTATGTTTTTTTAAAGACTAGCGACTAGGATTTATTAATGTGGCGTCATTTAGAATATTTTAATTAAGCATTTATGACCATTTATTTTATCAAGTGTTATAATTTTACGTGGTAGAGCCATGCTCCAGCTATATTATAGTTACATCGAATGGGTCAGCTCGCCCAGGGTAGGACCACAATCTCACAAAATACTAACATAAAAAATAGCAGCTTAATATTGCTGTTTTATATGGTGAGCGTAAAGACCCGGAGACCCTTCTAGGGTTCTTCCGGTTCTTTACGCTCTGGAATTGATGCATTCCATCTTAGGCCTCAGGGGTGACAGCGCATCTGCATTCAGATTCTTAATCGAGGATAAATATAGATGTCTATGGACTGCAGCTCCTACTTACGAAAAGGTGGACTGTTTGACAATCACAAGCGCTCAGCAAGTTGGTTGGTTCCTGATTCAGCACCTAAACAATGCCCTCAACGAAAACTTACCCCTAGAAAAGTGATGGTCAATATTGGGTGGCCTAACGCCAGTACGATTCATCACAGCTTCTTACCAAATGGAATGAGTATTACTGCAGATGTGTGCTGTGAAGAACTGAACACAATAATGGAGAAGCTCGCACGTCTGCAACCAGCTTCGGTCAATCGCTCGTCCCTGCTGCTCCTACACGACAACTCACGACCTCAAATTGCACAACAGACCGTCTCCATGTTACAAGATCTGGGGTTGGAAGCTCTCCGTCATACACCGTACTCACCAGATCTTGCTCCTACAGACTTCTACTTTTCCAGAATTTGGATAACTTTTTGGCGCGAAATAATTTAATATCTGAGAAGCAAAATGCTTTTGAAGAATTTTTTGCCTCCCGTCCATCTGATTCCTTCAAGAAGGGCATCAATAAACTACCACTGTGTTGGCAAAGATGTCATCAAACTACATAAGATTGTAAATTTCCACTTACCTTCTTCTACATACTGATAAAGCTTGTCAATGAACAAGTCGAGTTGCTGTCTCTCGTCATCTGACATAGTTATTTCTAGCACAGAATTAACCCACAAGGCTAAAGGGCTGGTTCCAATACCTTGTCCATTAGTTCCAACTAGTGCCATTAAGGAGCAAAACCCTTCTGGTGTAAGAAACTGTGAATAAGAAAGGAATAATATAAAAATAAAATAAAGGTAAAATAGAAGTTTCTGTGTGTCTTTCACAAATTATAACACTTTTTTCAGCCTTTGTAACCCTTTACCAAAATTGCTTGGTTATCTGTAGTTATAACTACATAGCAATGTTTTTCTTTATATTTTTTACTATCGATAATGCTACTAGAGAAAAACCCTTAGCATAGGAATTATTTTCATATATATACCTGATCAGACTGACATCCATTTTTTTATTAATTTTAAATGTAACACATCTTTCCTACCTATATTGAATACATTGTTTTTTTTTCTACAATAAGATCAAATAGTTTGGAAAATCTAAAAGTGTATATATATAGTGATGGAAAAAGAATTACATTCCTGGCTTTTAAAATATATTATTTACGTATTTTAAATTTAGCACTCTATTATTTTAACAGGTAGTGTGTGTAACACCTACAGGGAAATTAATTAATAATGTTTACCAAAATAAATTGATTACACAAAGTATAAAACCAATATAAGCTGTATGGTACATTTGTCCTTTGTCTATCAAGGGCTAAATAAAATATGAAGGCGTCTTTAAATTTTTAATAGCAATAAAATTTTACAAAAGTTGAAAATCATTTTATTAACAAACTACGAGTACTAGGCTATTGATATGAAATAGGGAACCAATTGACGTAATTCTGAAGCTATTAAAAAAACCCGGTCTCGATTAATACATTTTTTCAGGAGTTAATGTGACCAGACACAAAATCAACATCTGGATGTCCATGTAAACTTTTTTTCAGTTTTTTTTTTCAAAGTAGCAATATTAAATTATTTACTAGAAAATTTAAGACGGATTAATTAGTGTTTTCTTGAAATATGGCTACTTATATCATCATATAAGTGCAATATGGTTATGAAAGAGGCATTTTAAGAATATAAAATTGCTTGACTAAAGCACTACCTAATAACGCTTATGAGGCATGCAATCTTGGTTGCTTGGATGCAGTTTATCTTTAATATAATCACAAAATAAATTGTTTTCTCTCTTAAAAATTATAAGAGAGAAAACAATAAAAAATAATATATATTTAAATTGAATAAACAATTTTCTTACCTGTTCTACATGGTCACCATTAATTACATTAGCTGTCAATTCCCTCAAAGTATTTAACTGCTCCGTAAACTGTTCACCTAGCAATTTATGAACCAGTTCAGCATCCTCGTTTACTGTTCTGTGGCAAAACTGTTTGACTGTGGCAGCTGCAGCCGAGGGATTGCTGCTCTGCTCTATGAAGGCCAATATCCTTACTAAAAGCATTACACTTGTTGTTTCTGGTGGATAGTGCATTTGCCTGAAGGGTAAATAAATTTTCATAGTGTTAGGTAATAGAGCATTTAAATAAAATATATATATATATATATACACATAATGATGTTGAGCATGTATTAAGCTAACATGAAACAACCACAGGACGTATGACTTTTCCAAGTGACATAAGACAACCTAAAAAGGTTCGAACCTAAATATCTTTTTTTTATGCCTTCTCATGACAAAACTCTTTGACAGAGTTAATTTTAAGATATTTTTGATATATAGATGCTACCATTTCTTCTCAACTAATTTTATGTATGAAAGTCTACTATTGTTCTTTAGCTACGGATGAATATTTATCTTTGAGCTCCTACAAGTAGGTGTGAAACATGCTGTCACTAGAACACAATGGTGGATCTACTTATACACAATGGTAGTAATAATATTTTCACAATTAAATTCCCAAAAATTCACTTTTAATACTTTTTTATAGAATCAGTGTGACAAGCGAGCACACAGTCCATCTGTTGAAGTGTTTATTGTGGCCCATAGAAATCTACATCTATTCTTGATTGAGAATCAAAATGCAGATGCATTGTCCCCCCTGAGGACTAAGATGGAATGCCTCATTTCCAGTAAAAAGGGTATCTGGTTCTCTATACTCACCATACAAAACACAGCAGCATTAAGCTGCTATTTTATGCTGGAATTCTGTGAGGTTTGTTTGAGGTTCTGTGTGGTCGAGTCAACTCTTTACCATTTAAAATTATTAACATACCACTTATTTCTGCATGTTAATAAATAGAAATAGAAAATAAATCTCAGTAGTTTTTATATTTAGTTTGCCCTTGCATTGCCAATATTATAAAATAATACTAACTTCCATGTCTCCAAAAGCACCATTACAGGATGTTGTGCATCACTTGTATCATAACATAAAGTTCTGTGGAAGGCCTCATATGCCCGCTGCTTACAATCTTCACTACAGTATAAAATTCCACATTGGTCACAAGTAGTGACATTCTCCAAGTTTATGTCAAAACAACTGGCATGTGGTAATACTATATCCGGTTTGCATGATAGACGTCTTACATTCTGTTCTGGTGTTTCCAATGGCCTATTAAAATATTTTAAAGCATTTAAGTAATTTACTATTATATAAAATAATAAGACAAATAACTTTGTTTACAATAATTTATCAGAGCGACTCTTGAGCTTCTTTTTCTAACCTCTAATTTTAAAACAACAAAACATCTGGTTTACCTCATACAGTAGTCACATGCTAAATATCTGTAGGCCGCATTCCAAGCAAATTGACACGAAACAAGAGGATCTTCCTCCAGAATAACATCACCTACGTCATACTTCTTCGTCGCAAACAATCCTTTACCCTATAAAAATAAAAATAAATGTCAAAGATACACTTATTATCAGTGTAAGACAAATGGCACTCCAAATATTTACCTTTTTACTATTAGATGTTCTTATTTCGAACCCGTCCATAGCGCTTAACTAATTTAAGTACTCCAGTTAAATAGTAATCCCTTCGTCTTCATAAAACAAAACTTATTACATTACAAAGGACGGGTTGTTCAGTGAAGTTAAGGTTATTAATTATGTTAATAACAAAACTACTCTTAAATTAACTACGCTTTCTATTATTTCACCAAGCAAAGATTATTTATACTACTCTTAATTAAATTTTAAGTTATTTGAATAATATTAATAACCTTTAAATAATTTAAATAGGCTAGGTATGTTTCACAGAGTACATTATATATAGGGGAGTATAGTATGTTTATATATACATCGATGTGTTGTATCGATATTATATCGATATTTTTGGGCATAGCTTTTATTCGATATATCGCCAATTTGTTAGTTATCAAGTAAGTAACAAAATATTAAGTATCGAAAATATATCAAAAATTATATAGGTATTTCCAATAGCAACACAACCTGAGTTTCATCAGAGAGAGTAGCATCAGTAGTAATCTTAGCCTACGCAATAGCATAGGTCATAGGTCGAGTTTCAGGAGAACTTACCAAATTTAGTCTTTTTTTTGTTTCTTTTGATAAGAATTGGTTTGCATAAGTGATATTCTATTTCGTTCAAATAAAAAGAATTATATTTCTATCAATGTTTTATTGATTTATGACTTTACATAACAGTCACTTGATTAAGGATTTAGCCAAAGATATTGGATTTATTCTTGAGAATGAGATAGAATATAGTGTAGTAAGCGACAGTAGCCTAATGACAAGGTGCGGAAAACGAACTCAAAATGTTGTTGGTTTCGAATCCGACATTCGATTATTTTTAAGTTTACCAATAGTGGTTAAAGGGAATTTGAGTAATGTTAATAGCATTGATAGTATATTTAAAAAAGTGTTTCCGATAATTTCGGTATGCTCTTTGTGCGGTGCTTTAAAGATGGTTAAAATATATTTTAACTCTTAAAATAAACAGTTAAAAAATTAACAAATTTATTTAATTAATAAAATAAACTTTAATGAATAAAATTTTCAAAATATAGAATTTTATTCATTACAACCCACGTTCCATTTACCGATTTATATTAAATTATTCTTTTGCCATCTAGATGGTAATATACCACCAGCCATGCTGCAGCTATATTATGGTTGTAGCACGAATGGGTCGGCTCGACCGGGGAAGGACCACGCTCTCACAGAATACCAGCGTAAAATAGCAGCTTAACACTGCTGTGTTTCGTATGGTGAGTGTAGAGAACCAGAGATTCTTTTCACTGGAAACGAGGCTTTCCATCTTAGTCCTCACGGGTGACAACGCATCTACATTTTGAGTCTTAATCGGGGATTGATGTAGGTGTCTATGGGCCACAGCAACCACTTACCATCGGGTGGACTGTGTGCTCGTTTGTCACCCTTATCCTATAAAAAAAAAATAGTGCATATCTTATGTACCATTTTGAGAGTCAAACAATTTTTTTTTCAATAAAATGACTTTACCTATAGAATAAAGTAGATGGCGCGCTATTACGAGGGCACTGAAAATTTCGGAAATCAAGGAAGTGACATAACATTACTATTTAAAAATGTATTTATTGCTTTTCGAAGTATTCTCCGCGAAATTTGACACATTTTTCCATACGATGGAACCAATCAATAAAGCAACCATTCCATTCGGAAGTTGGGGTCTCCTAAATGGCCGTTTTGTAGACGTCCACAGCTTCTTGAGGTGATGAAAATCTCTGTCCACGCAATTTATTCTTTATTTTATGGAAAGTATAGAAATCATTAGGGCTTAGGTCGGGGCTGTACGGTGGATGGTCTAATAATTCTATGTTTTCTTGCTCTAAAAACTCTTTTGTACTGTGTGCGGTGTGAGAACTCGCATTGTCGTGATGGAGGATGATGCGGCGGTTGCAGTTCTCTTTACGGAGTTCAGAAACGACCTGTGGCAAACAAATGCTAGCATATCATTCTGCATTAACCGTTCTTTGTCCCTCAAGAGGAATAGTCGTAACATGGCCGGTTTTGGAGACAAACGTGGTCACCATTTCTTTGCAACACTCCGTGAACGAACAATTTTTGTTGGCTTTAACTCAGTTTCGAACACCCAAACTCGTGACTGGTTTTTTGTTTCGGATTCGTACGGGTATATCCAGGATTCGTCACCTGATACGATGTTGTATACAGCATTTGAGGATCCTGCGTGGAATCTTTCGAGAGTTCTGACGCACCAAATAACGTGAGCCGCTTTTTGCTCTTCACAGAGCGAATGCGGTATCCATCGGGAAAACAACTTTTTTACACCTAATTGTTCATGCAAGATTATTTGTATTTGACTCATGCCAATGTCTAAAGTTGCCTGAATTTCGCGGTATATCACATATCGATCTTCCTCAATCAGCTTATGCACAGCATCAACGTTTTCTTGGGTGACTGCAGTTTTTGGACGACCTTGACGGGGATCATCACTGAGCTTGACACGTCCACGTTGAAATTCAGCAAACCAGCGATAAATTGTGGTTTTGGATGGGGCTTCATCACCAAATGCAGAAATCATCCGATCAACACACTGTTTTTGTGTTAAACCACTTCGAAAGTCATAATAAATCATCGCTCTTGAATTTTCTCGAGTCAATTCCGTTTTCTGAACGACTAAACAAGTTTGACAAAACCTTGTGACAAGACCGAGAATCTTTTTTTAAATAAATAAATGGTATTCGATTTTCAAAACCAAGGTGTTTTCAATTAAAAAGATTTTAATATGACACGAACAGTGGAAATATTCCATTCCCGATACTTTTAGTGCAGCCTATGTACAAACCAATTTTACTCGATAGAAAAAATTATTTCGATTTATTACACTATATCCTGTACAACATAGCTTGAACTTTTTGACAGATGGGTCTAGTCATAGAAGTATCTTACTCTAAGGGTCTAGTGTCTAGCATAGATAAATATATATGTAGGTGTCTAGTGATGAAAACAGAAAATATCTAATATTGCAAAAAATTTAAAAGTGTTTCTTTTAAACTATTCAAAATAAATTAATTCATTCATCAATCAACTTTATTGCACTAGACATATTGCATAAAACATTGTGTAGGTAAGCGACGATGGGTTATATTATTCATATAATATTGAGTTAAAATCAAGGTTGAAAAATAATATAGAATTTTCTCTTTAAAACATAGTTTTTAATCGGGAAGAGAAGCACAACTAAGATTTTTATCGTCGGAGTCATCATCGGAACTTGTGTCATCATCTCCAACTTGAATTATTAATTCGTTTTCAACGAAATTGTCGAAGTGCACATCGCGCATACAGTCAGACAAAACTTCTACTTTCACGTGTCGAACAACATTCGCCCAGTTGCACTTGACCACAAGCTTCTTGCTATAAACGGAGCATTTTGTTTGCGGTTTTTTTTTATAGAATTATAGTGACAAACGAGCACATAGTCCACCTGATGGTAAGTGGTTGCTGTGGGCCATAGACATCTACATATATCCTCGATTGCGAATCAAAATGCAGATACGTTGTCACCCGTGAGGACTAAGATGGAATGCCTCGTTTCCAGTAAAAAGGGTCTCCGGTTCTCTACACTCACCATACGAAACACAGCAGTGTTAAGCTGCTATTTTACGCTGGTATTCTGTGAGAGGGTGGTCCTTCCCCGAGCCGACCCATTCGTGCTACAACTATACCAGTAATATAGCTGCTGCATGGCTCTACCACGTAAAAAAACATGTTTCCGCTTGGTGAAGGGAGAAGATGTGTTGTTACATGCTGCATGTCCTGTGAACGAAATAAGTGATGAATAAAGTAATACTATTTAATGCAATATACGTTAAAGTATTTATGAAAAAACAAATTTAATGCAAATATACATATACACTCACGCCTGTCACCCAGAGGGGTAGGCAGAGACTATGGACTTCCATTTGGCACGACCCTGACACACCTCTCTCGCTTCCTCTACATCCATATACCTACGCATACACGCTCGTCGGTTAAAGGTACTCTTGATTTGGCCCATTTTAAATATATCGCTAATTTGGTCGATAAACTTTCGCCTAGGGCGACCCTTCCCGACTCTGCCGTTCACCTTTGTAAAATTTACCAAAACACCGAAGCATTCATTTCTTAATCCTGTTCACAACATCATCTTGCAAACCACACTCTTCTCTTATCAAACAATTTCTCACTCTGTCATTCAGATTCATCTCTAACATACTCCTTAATGACCGCATTTCTACAGCATTTATTCTACTCTCGTGCTTCTTCTGCCACACTCAACTTTCACTACCATACATTAAAGTAGGTACTAACACAGCATTGTGAATTGCCATACGTGCCTTTTTGGACACATTCTGACTTTTCACAATAGGGTGTAGAGCCCCATTCACTCTATTTCCTGCATTCACTCGTCGTTCTATATCCTTATCATATCTACCATCCCTGCTAAACACACATCCCAAATACACAAAGCACAAACTCATCTACTTGCTCGACCAACTCCTTATTTCACATATCGTTTTACTTTCTTCTCTTTCAAAAACCATAACTTTCGTCTTATTTGCGTTTACTTTCATTCCCTTTTCTTTTAATGTTCTGCTCATTAATGTAACCATCATTTGCAACTCGGCCGCCGACGACGCAAGTATGACTTGATCATCGGCGTACAAAAGGCATTTGACGTTTAACTCGCCCATTCTTAACCTGCATCCTTCTACTTTCAAATTTTCCAAACAACTATCCATAAATAGGTTGAACAGCCACGGGGAAGCCACACAGCCCTGTCTGACACCTTTATGGATGCCAAACCAGTCCGAGTAGACCCCGTTGATCCTGACACAAGCACTAGAGTTCCTATAAAGAGACCTTAATGCCTGTATCAAGCCAGCGCTCAACCCAAATGAGTTCAGTGTTTGCCATAACACATTCCTGTCCACTCTGTCATAAGCCTTCTCCAAGTCCATGAACGCACAAAAAACTTTTTGTTTTTGGCCAAAAACTTCTCCGCGATCATGCGCATGGAAAATACCTGATCCGTACATCCCATTCCTTTTCTAAATCCCGCTTGCACATCCCAAATTTTTCCATCAGTTTCTTTCATAACTCTTTCAATTAGTACCTTAGCATACAGTTTTCCCACAATGCTAAGAAGGCTGATACCACGGTAATTTTTACAGTCCTGCTGTGATCCTTTCCCTTATATATTGGGACTATCACGGCTTTGCACCAGTCTCCCGGTACCCGCTTAAGTTCCCAACATAAATTA